GCGCAGAACATGCAGTGTCAGGATAAACTGTGAAGCATGCGCAGAACGTGCAGTGTCAGGATGCTGTGGTGCCCAAGCATGGTTTCGTTGACAATCATTTTGTTTTGTCATGGCAAACGTTAGTCTTGGACTCATTCCTTGGTCACTAGTCGGACAGTTTCATTCTCAGCCACTTTGATGTTAAAAAGTCACTCCATGTCAGCAGTTCTGTAAGACTCACTCTGTACTGGGGCTGGGGAGATGCCTCAGTTAGTAAAGGGCTTCTGGTATAAGCATGAGAGTCCAGGTTCAGATCCCTAGCAGCTGCACAAAAGGCAAGATGGAGCTTAGTGCATACCTGCCGTCCAGTACTGCTGGGGCAGGGTGGAGACAGACAGGGCAGCCCATCTCACTAATCCTGTGAGCTCTAGGCTCAGTGAGAAATCTGGTCTTAAAATTGAGGAAATATGCAATGTCAACCTTTGCTTGCATGTGTAGACTCCCTCCACATGTGTGTGTGCGTACACACACATACACACATACACACAAGCACACAAGCATATTCACACACATGTATACATACACACAGACACACACACATACACACACGCAAGCACAAAAGCGTATTCACACATTGTATACAAGCACACAAGCATATTCACACACATGTATATACACACATACACACACACACACAAACACACACAAACACACACATACACACACACACACACATACACACACACACACACATACACACACACACACACCAAAAGAGCCTCATTCTGCTTTATCTCTATTTCTAACCAGGTGTGTATGTATGTGTGTATGTGCATTCGTGTGTGTGTGTACGTGTGTGCATATGTGTGTGAATGTGCTTGTGTTTGTAAATTGAGGAGTAATAGGGCTTATATTTTTTCACTCTTGCTAATACCCTGTGGACTTTCAGATGAAAACAAAATGGGAAAGTTCACAAATGTGTTGTACAGAGCAAGTGGCTTTGCTTCGGTGTCTGCTACACACTAGTGAGCTCATCTTCACCTCACTATGGATGTGTGGCCTGCGGTCTTGTCACGCTTTCTTTAGTGCTTTTACTTTCATGCTGAAGCTGGTTGGTACACATCATTAGAACAGAGGTTTAACTTTTCAACACACTTCTATTACACACAAGTGCATCTCTACTGTTTTCTTGAGGAAAAATAATTGAATTAGCATGAACTGTGACCAGCTTGTGATTATCCTGAAGAACATGTTGGGGGTGTGTTTCTATAAATAACTTCAGTGTAAACATTAACCTCTCTCTTTGAGACCCACCTTGCTTGGGACACTGAGCTTGTGTTAGACATTATTAAAATATGCTCAAAAATCTGTTATTGTTAATGATAAATTCTCTTACTTTATATTACTCCTTCATTTTCTTGTAAATTAGCAAAGATGATGGAGATGGGCAAAATACCTCTGGTTCCAACAGACTGACGGACAGAACAGCCAAGTATGTCTTAGACAGATAGCAAAGGATTGCAAGGGAGTATCCTGCTCTTGAAGGTACTGCACCAGGGCTGTCAGAAACAAATGCTCACAAACCTGGGTGAAATACTGCACCCTGGCCAGGCAGGAAGCACGCCCCCTAGTGGAGAAAAACACGAGCCTTTATGACTGAGATTGATCAAAAACAAGTGGCTATGTTTTGTCAAACACATAAAAGAATGGTCAGGATATGAAGAAAATAAGGATGGATAGACAGACAGACAGACAGACAGACAGACAGATGATAGAGGAAATGCTCAGGTCATCACAGACTTGCCAAGTCTTCACGGCAGTGGTCTTGGACCCCAGTGTGAGTGATGTAGAATCTGGAAGCTTTCTTTCTTATCTCTGGGTTCTGCAGTGAATTTGTAGGTGCATCCTGGTTAAATGAGGGGTGAAGCAAGAAAGAATTTCATAAATGAAGATTAAAGGTGGTTTTGAATACTTAAGTCACAAACTTTAATTTGGAAACTTGAATTCTTCTGTCAGATTTTTCTGAGATTTGAATCAGTGACTTTGACTTTTGTGAAAGTCGCCTTTGTTTTCCAAAAAGGAGAGCACTGTGCCACTCTAAGATGTTTAATTATTCAACTGTATAAAATCTCCAACCTTTTGTTTAATTCAAGGAAAAGGTTATCTGAACATATTACCAGGTTCCTTTAAATAGGAATTTCAGATCCTCTTCCTTATGGATCATCACATTGATTTTTATTATATATTAGATAAATAGCATTGTGTGGAACTCAAAACCTTTTCCTCCTCAATATAGAAATGCACAGATGTACACACTTTTGTGCACATGCACACTTATACACAGTACACATGTGCATACACTTGCACACACTTGCACACATGTGCACACACTTGCACACATGTGCATGCTTGCACACACTCTTACTTCTAGGTTCTGAAGTACTGACTCTGAATTGTTTGAGAAGATTCAGTGAAGAAAGTGCTGTAATGAGGTCAGTAAACGTTTGAAGATATGTTAAGATGTGAAAAGCACTGTACAGGGAGGAACTCAGAAACTTCTAATAATAAATTATTAAACTACTAGAAATGTCTGGGACAAAGCTACGGTAATTGTGTAACATAATTGTTGTCCATAGGTTAATGGCAATTTTTTTTAACCTAATCTTAGTCAGAGAACTTTCTAGAACAGCAGCCCAGCCCTGAAGGGACTTCTCGGAGGCCAGGTATGCTCAGGCTGTGAAGAAAAGGGCAGAAACAGGAACAGCCAGCAAACTGGGACGCATGTATTTCATGCTCTGTGGAGTTTGGTGTAACCAAGTTTCTAGGTGTTGATGAAATGCATAGGCATGTGAATTATTCTGTGGTGTGTCCTGAATGGGAGGAAAAAGAGATTGCTATTGCAGTAGAAATAACTAAAGGAAATGACTCCCAACAGAAGCATAGAGTCTAACTTATTAGGCGTGACATCTGCCTAGGATGTTTCTATGCAAAGCCAACCTTGCCTTCTCCTAGATCTGAGTGAATTTCCTGTTCCTTCCCCTACCCTCCTGATACTCACACAGTCGGTCACACTGGGTTGAAGTATGTCTTGAATACTTGAATACCAGACTTGAAGGCGATTCAGCAGCTTGAGAGAACTTCAGATACATACAAACAAACAAACAAACAAACAAATGTTCTTATTTAAATTGTTATCTCCGGTCTCTAATTTTGTCTTTCTTTAGCCTTCCTAGATGTGTCCAGAAGCAACAGGGTTTGAAATATTTACTCTATAAGGAAGAATTAAAACATGCTTATGTGAGGTATAGTTTTTAGCCACTCAAGGCCTCAGATCTGTTGACTTGAACACTCCCATGAGAGTCAAACTGCTAGTTAATTCTAATTTATGTGCAAAGACTCTCTGAAAGACTTAAGTTTTGAAAACGTCCTGCAATGTATTTTGAACATTCTCACCACCCTTCCACCCCTCCCACCCCTTCCCACCCACCTTCTAGAGTGCTTCTTTCCCTACAAGTCTGCTTTGTGTTGTCCAGTTAGTCTTAGGATTAAAGCCTGCTCAGGGGTGTGGTCAGCAGCAGCAAGCAACTGGCTGCCCTCTTCCAGCAACGCAGCAACTCTCTCAAGAGAACCATTTTTGTTGTCTGACTTAAAATCATAAACGTTTATGATTAAACACCATTGAAAATACTAGGAAGTACTCAAAGATCGAAGAAATTAAAGACAAGGATTCCTTCTATAGAATCAATACAACGGTATGTTATTAAATTGGACATAAACATTTTAGAAATAATACTGATTGTGTGTGTGTGTGTGTGTGTGTGTGTGTGTGTGTGTAGGGCTGAGGATGTGCTAGGCAAATGCTCTACCACTGAGCCACATACCCAGACCTGACTAAGTTATTTACAAGGAGCATATCACAGTCTGTGATCCGTGAAGATCAAAATCTGTGGAATCAGAAGCTCAGCAGCAGGCCAAGCTCCTCTCAGGACTGTTTACAAGGTTCCTTCCTGCAGATTTCCTCCTCCACCTCGTGCACATTGTAATTTCTGGATCTTTATAGCATCTTTGCTGCTATTACCCTCCTTTATCAAGATAAAGTTAAATCTCAGAACAACCCTAATGGAGACCCTGGTCTCAGAGTTGTGCAAAAACTGCTTCTGAATACTTTGAACCTGCCCTGAGCCCAGCTGCTTAGAGATAAAAATCATCTAGACAAAGAGACCAGACAAAGGCAGAGATTATCTGTGTCAGGGAGAATTGTAAAATTTGAATCTCTGTGTTCTAAAGTTTTATTCACATAAGAAAACAGGCCATCTTTAGGGAGAAAAGAAAATCACACAAAATTACAGGGAAGACCCTGCAAGTCCTGCCAGAGGCAGGAGACAGCTGGCTCCTTCTTTGAGGAAGGTGGGCAAATTTCCTTGACAGTGTGTGAATTTATAACTTGCCTTTAAATACATTGTTGCAACATTTTAATAGGAAAATTGTGATCAGAAACTAGAAGGATACACTGAGAGTCTGGGTTCTCCAGTTGTGGTTAAGGCCAATCTCTATATCAACCAGGTTATGTTTTGATACATTTCAAGATGAGTTGAAGACATAAGGATATCCCACCCCTAGCTATTGATTGAGGTTACTCATTAATAATTGTTTTTGTTATTTCAGATAAAACATACCTGTAGTAAAATGCCCAAATCTTAGTGTATTCATTCTGTGTATTTTCCCGCAATCACACATGCCTAAGAAGCCCAGACATTGAGAAAGATATGGAACCTTATTTATTCCAGAAAATTCCTTCTTGTGTTCTGGGTTTTCTCACAGATGTGTCCTGTCTTAGAGTTTCACATCAGTGAGACTCTTGCCTTTTGTGTACCCAGTCTTGGTGAAAAGTTCTTTCTTTCAACACGTGGATTTACAGTCCTCTTTGGATTTACCTATGAAGTGGGTTACATAGCATGGCTTGACTGATTTGGCTTTTGGACTTTGACTTTCAGGTTTGTTCCCTGCCATTCTCAACCTGGCCACCAATGCCCACATCAGCACCAACGCTACCTGTGGAGAGAAGGGGCCTGAGATGTTCTGCAAACTCGTGGAACATGTGCCAGGCCGGCCTGTTCGACATGCCCAATGCCGGGTCTGTGATGGTAACAGTATGAATCCTAGAGGCAAGTACAGCTTTCTATTCATAGAAACGTACGCATGAGATACTTTATACAACTTGTTTTTTCGGGTGCTCGGGTAGAATCCGAGGCCTTGCACATGCTTAGCAGGTGTTCTGTCTTTGAGCTCCACCCCAGGTCCACCCATGGGAATTCATACTTTCTGAAGCAACTGAAGACTTCGTCTGAGAATACTCCAAAACTGCCCACTGTGGCTGTTCTTCCTCTACACTGGGTTTAGCAGTGTAAGAATGAAAATCCAAAGTTGACAGCTATATTTTTGTTGTCTTTTAACAGAGCGCCACCCAATATCGCACGCAATAGATGGCACCAATAACTGGTGGCAGAGCCCCAGTATTCAGAATGGAAGAGAGTATCACTGGGTCACCATCACCCTGGACTTACGGCAGGTAGGTTGGGCCAGGCCTGCTAGAGGTGGTCCTCAGCTCTCTGATGAATGACTTGGTTTTTGTTTTGTTTTGTTTTGTTTTAACACATCCGTCCAGGTGTGGGGTAGATGATACATAGTACTCTGTGGTACCACTTCTTCACCCATATGGTCCTGGTCCAAGCCCAGAGTGTGAGGGTAAATCTGGCTGGGTCTGTGGTATGTGTGTATGGGACTAAGGATGGGTGGGGGGAAGGGAAGGCAGGTCCCGACAGAAACCTAGGGGTTGTTTGCTTTGTAGGTAGGAGCCCTGATGTAACATCTGGACTAGATCTGACCAGTTGGGGAGGGTCAGGCAGACTCACCAGCTTGATCCTACAGAAGGACATGCAGCATCAGGCTGGGCAGAGAGGTTGAGTATGATGTCTAGATGTACTTTCTTCTCAACATTAGTGATTCCTGCTCATTTCTTTCTCTGACTAGTGGTGTTTAAGAAACTCTGGTTTTGATTCAACCATTTGTAAAACCAGCGAGAGCTGACGTATGTGCTAGCCTTGCTTTTAAGGAAAAGATGTATGTCTAGGTCTAGTGCACCGTGGTGAGGGTACAGCTGAAATTTGCATGGTAGTGTGCTTGTGAATTCTTCTCACCTTTAGGGTATGTAGGCACACACCTTGCAGAAGTGACACCACAGTCAGTGAGTGTCTAGGGTAGTCTTAAATCGAAAACAAATCATTCTGAGAGAGAATGCACATTTTGTGAATCTTGAATGTTACGATTGTCAGAAGGATTTTTGGATCCTGCTCACTGTGTTGAAGTGTGCTTCCCACGCTGACATTTCTCAGCAGAAGAGAAAGATTTCTGACTTGAGGAAATGCTGTCTTAAACATCAGTTCACATTAGAGAAATGAAAACCAAAGCCACAGTAAGATACCATCTCATACCTTTTAGGATAACTATTGTAAAAGAAATGAGAAGTCCCCAAGTGTGGGAGGGAGTAGAAGAGGAGAGGCATCCTTACACTCCTGGCTGGTGTGTCAATGAGGCAGCACCAGGGAAAACCCAGCAGTGGCTCCTTAAACATTTAAATACAGAATCAGAACATGCTCAGCTCTTCTCTCCCCAGGTGTATAACCCAAAGAACAGAAAGGAAACACTCACGGTTATAGTAGCATTGGTCTCAGAAGCCAAAGGGTAGCGACAACTCAGATGTTCATCAGCAGATGGATGGGTTAACAGATGGCAGCACACACACACACACACACACACACACACACACACACACACATCATTGAGCCTTGAAAGTAGATGAAACTTTAACACATGAGTACATCTTGAAATCGTGTGAAGTGGCATAAGACACACGCAAAAGAAGAAATATTGTATGATTTAGAGGTGGGAAGTAGGCTGGCGGTTGCAGGTGCTGAAAGAAAAAAAATGGTAGTTAGTATCTGATGGGAGTGTCAGATGACGGTAAGAAGGTTGTTTAGGTGGGTGATGGTGATAGTGAAAAGAAACACATGAATTCGATTTAATTGGCTGAAATGGTAGTTTTAACGTTACCTATATTTTATTGAAGTTAGACATTTTACCACACTGTGAAAGGCATAGTGCGTTGCATCAGCCAGGATCCAGTCAGGACAACAGAAAGCATGTGAACTGGGCATGGAGAAAGGCAATGTCAGAAATTGGTTCAATGGAATCCATATCGGAGAACTGAAAAGGGGGGGAGGCAGAAAGCCTCTCAGACTGTGATGGAGCTGGAGGGACCAGGGGAGGCTTGGAGTTGTTAGCATCTGGTTGGGGGAGAACCCCCCCATACTGACTCCATGACAGTAGGAGGCTTCTCTGGGAAGTCCTGGATAGTTGCAACTGGAGTCAACTATTATAGCCCTGTCAGGAATATCTGTTAGGGTGAGGCCAACAGGAAAAGCCAGGTGACAGGCACCATCTGGTAGCCTCCCTCTTCAGGGTTCCAGTCTCTTGAAGGAGACACCTGGTGGTTTGCAGAGATCCCGTCTCAGCCTCAGGAATCAGAATCCAGGGAAGACTCTCAGCTGTTAGCAGCTAGATCCACCTACCAATCTCAGCAGGTGAGCGTTTGCTGTGCCCCTGCAGTAATGCAAGCATGGAGAAGCAGCTGTGGATTCCTTGTCATCGCATCTTGTCATGGTGGTCAGCCAGATTCCAAACCCGTTTGAAGGAAAATGAAAATTTGGAATCCTCCTAGCCAAATGATGCACTGACTTCTACTATACCTAGGATGAGGTGCCCTTGGATCTCAGCTGAGAGAACTCCTCAGGGAGGACTGAGGGACCCCGAAAACGGTTCTGCTTTACGGGTATATTATCTTGCTGTTGATTGTTTCTGGTGTGGTGTAGTGGAGATGAGTAGACACTGGCCCCAAGGTAATCGTTTTACAGAATAGAGTGCGGCAGCTTGAGTAGAGGTGTGATGTGGTCAACTAGTTCCTCATATCCGTAAACCTCAGTTTCTTCCTCTATCTGTCCCTTCTTTGTGCTGTGTGCACATGAACATTCATGTGCACATGTGTGTGAGTCCATGCCGGTTCACAGGCATGTGTGTGCACAAGCATGTGGACACCAGAGGCTGATGCCAAGTGTCCTCTTTAAATGCTCTCTACCTTGCCTTGTTGAGACAGCTACTCCCAGAACCTGGTGCTCTCCAATTAGTTGGCTCAGCTAGCTGGCCAGTGAGCTATAGGATCTACCCATCTCTGCCCTTTTATAGTAGGTTACATATATGCACCACCATGCCTGGCTCATTGATGTGTGTGCTGGGGACCAAACTCAGGTCCTCAAGCTTGTGTGGCAGGCCCTTTATAAAGCAAACCATCCCCCCATCACCATCCTTTTTCAGATCTTCAGTTACCGTCAAGGGAAATGTTAAACAAGACCTTAAAATAAGCTAATTAGACTTACTAAGAGGATACTAAAAACCTTAAAAAATGCAATTATGCAAACTTTTAGAAAACAAACTTAATAGGTCAGTGATAACTTCTCAGACTTGGAAAATAAAACCAGTTCATTATAAACAGACAATTCTGGTCAATGTGAAGAGCCAGAGACACTTGCCATCCCTTTACTCTGAGAGAGCCACAGATAATGCCATTAAATGATCCCAGATTTACATTCTTTTTTCTTTTCTTTTCTTTTCTTTTCTTTTCTTTTCTTTTCTTTTCTTTTCTTTTCTTTTCTTTTCTTTTCTTTTCTTTAGCTCTATGCATTTAATAACCCCACAATGGTGTTCACACTTCTGGTACTCTACCTCAGGCATGGGGCTGTGCACACCTCTGCTCTGGGTTGTGTCTCTGAACTTGGATAATCACACTCCAACACCTGAGTCAGGGTCAGTCACCACGGCCTGTGACAGATGACTAAATGGAGCTTAGAGTCTGAGAGCAAGAGTTTGTGCCACTCACTCAAGGATGGGGACTCCTGCAATTCCAGAGGTTGGACGCTGTCACTGCATGGTACCCTCAGACCCCACCTTCCTCCAGCAGAGATTCTGAGATGTAAAACAGTGATTTATTTTACCTCTTGACTTGAACTTCTCCCAATATAACTGCAACTCACTACTAAAGCTTTTAAAAGCTTTGTCCATGGTCTTCCATGATGGTTATCCCTCCTGAGCATAACAGTTTCCAGGCCTGTGGTTTGGATTGTTTTTGTTATGGATAACAACTCAAGCTCTCAGTTAAAAAGATCAACCTGATTCCCTGACAAAGAAAGAATGAACGGATAGAGACCATCTCTTGAAGCTTAAATTACAAGTTCCTGCTTAGTTTTGAGGGTCATTTTAAAAGGAGTATTTACTGACCAGTGTACTGAAATTTATGGGTGTCAGCTGGAGTCTGCCCAGCGTTTTCCTCCTTCATCTGTTGACCGACTGTCCTGCCATGAAAATGTGCTCTCCTTTTTCTGAAGGAAAAGGGCAGGCTAGAACAGCTGGGTCACGGGCTCACCCAGAGGCCTGCAGCTCTACATGCGAAGACTAGGATCAACCCCCCCAAATCTGAGTTCCTTTTACAATGCCTGTCTCCCTCACCTGATCTCCAAGCACTGCTGGCCTTCAAGCTTTCACATTATGGGTTGGCTGTCAAGGGTCCTTACAGGTTTTTTTTTTTTTCTATGACTTTGTTGAGCTGAGCTGAGCAGAGCATCTGGCCCCTCTCTGCTTCTGCTGCCTTGCTGTGGAGCCCACTAGGGTCCACATCCCTGCGGGTCTGAGATAGCAGCACTTCTATGTTTTGGAAGTGGCTGATTGATAGAATTGGGTTCTCTTTACCCCATAGTGTGGCGAATACGAATTGGACTGGTGTTTTGTATTTCCTTCAAAAGAATTTTTAAAGCCTGCTCAAATATTTTCACCAGGAGGGGATTTTTTTTTTTTTAAAAAAATCCTTTTAAAGATAAAATCTGTTTTGTGAGAAAGGAAATGTTCCCTGTGGCACCAAGAGAGGAGTGCCTTACTTTTTGTGTAGGTTTAATTAGGAAGTGCCACTTGGTTATGGGAACAGGATCACAGAAGAACCTTTGTTGTGTGCAAGCCCTTAGACTAGAATGGCTGGCGTGGGGGGAGTTGTAAAGTCTCATTAGTTTGGATATCCATTGTGTTTCATTCCTTCAAATCTCAGATAAATTGACAATAATTAGGTAGGTACACACACACACACACACACACACACACACACTTACTTTACTAAGAACCCTGAAAAGGTCCATAAGAAAACAAACTGCATTCCTAAGACACCCTGAAAGATTTGTAGATCTTACCTGTAAACTGGGCCCTTAGAACAAACGGGTCTTGGCTTGCATGTTAAAAAGAAATTTCTGTAGGGAGGTAGAAGGCTTATCCTTCTGAATGCTGTGTCACAGAAATCTCTGTTACCACACCCTGCGATAGGTCAGCATGATGCTGCATGTGCATACTGACCTGTCTGCTTCAGATATAACATTTGCCTGACATTTATTTGGCAAAACAAATATAAGACTTCTTTGT